CACACCCATTAATGTTCGTATTATAGTTATTTTTGAACATGTATAAAAAAAGGTTTTCCAACACTGAAGCTTTAGTTAAGATAAAAGGTCATTAAAATGGGAAGGGCCCTTACCAGAAATTAGTTTTTCTGGAATGTGCAAGATTTTGGAAGATGCAGTATTTAATTTTTTTCTAATTAATCTTTATCACATGAGAGTATTTTCATGCGGCTGAATAATGTTAGCCAGATATTTTCCTGCAGCTCATCTAACTAGATGACTTTTTAATCTAGACATGCACACCACAGAGCGTGGACGATGGAAACAGTGGACCGGGCTTGTGAGAGGGCTCTAGAGTATCAACTAGGAGACAGATCCACGGATTCACCGTAAACCAGGTATGGGTCCTTCTCGGCCCTGATATAATCCACACACATTGCAGGTGTGGCTTCTTGGCCATAGCGCTACGGGTCCGGGTTCTCAGGGGTGTGGAAGCTAAGATAGCTCTCTGTGCGGCTGGGTACAGAACATCGATCCCATATGGGCCCTCGGCCCAGCTGACTTGTGTCGCAATGCTCGAGTAGAATAGGGCCTACTGGACTGAACATGAGCTTGTGAGAAAGATGGGCGTCCGCCACCTTGGGGGTGTCTTGTACATTCACATGAGCAATTCACCCCCGAAAAGTCTATGTCTGTGTCGAGATTAAAGAGTAACACTTCCAGCTGAGGCTCTCTGTCATTCAGACACACTAGGGGTTCTCTGCAGCCAACCTGAGTGATGTTCGCCTGGGAGTGAGGAAGCCACGGGCAAGAGCTCACGCGTGCTACAGGAGTGAGATCGCTTCAGTTCAGGTTTTGCCATCAAATGTAGTGTAAACTTCTGTCGAGAAGCGTGCAGTGCTTCAGCGACGCCTGTTTCGGGTTGTGCAGAATTTATGTGATAAGAGGAAATTGTGGACGCATCACTTTTTATGCTTGTGGCAGCTATTGTATTAAAATGATGATTTAGTTTCTCTTGTGTTTGTGTATTTGGTATAGCATATTATAGCGTTTTTTACACTTAGTGATAAAAGTCTGACAAACACCTTAACCAGATGCCTCTCGCGTTGGCACGCACTGTTCGGCTACTCGTGCTCTCAGAATGCGCTTGATTGTTAGTGGTAGCAAATGTAAAGGCTACGACACCCATTTCAATATAGAGGCAGATGGCGTGGTGCTGGAGACCGGGCACCATGGTGGACTGCTCTCGCGAGGTACAGACGCGCACACCCTGAAGGGCAGCCTCAAGCCGGAGAAGAGAGTGGGCCGTCTCATGCGGCCGCAGGCAGAGATGGCCAGGACGACCTCCTGTGAGAGCCAGGTGGTGTGAGCAAAGCAGTCGGCAGCCGTCCAGCGCAAAGCAGCCAGCACCGCTGACTAGGGCTGCGGTCCAGGCGAATGTGCTCCCACGGATGGAAGTTCGTGACAACAGACTCGCGCCATGTTTCGGATAGAAATCCCAAAAAGCAGCGCGAGGCGAGAGACAGCCCTGCCGGTTTTATGAGATCCAACTGGTGTTACTCTCGCTTCAATATACAGGCACTCCCGTTGTCACCACAAGGTGGTAGATTTCTTTGTAGCTCCTAGGTATTGTGTCTGTCGAGATTAAATGACTCGAAAATGCTATTATTTTTGAGACGTGAGACGTCGCTGCTCTAGAATACACGCCAAGAGCCAATGAAGTTGCGAGAGAATTGCACCAAGAAGAGAGTAGGCCGTCAGATCGATTGCGCTCTATCCTAGGCAGCCTCGCAAACAACCGCTGGACTCTACACAATCGGGCATCGACCTTCATACGTATGTCTCCAAGTATTCTTTGGGACAAAAAGGCTGGACGTGCCGACCAACGCGCAAACCTTTGCAACGCCTGGGCTCATCTGGTGGCAGACTTGCTGTCGTGGTTTGTTGCTGCTCGGTGGTGTGTGTGTGTGTGTGGTTGTGTACGGTGTAGGGGATGGAAACTTGCTTTGTTCGTCAGTAGCCTCCTGTCCCTCAAACTCCGGGTTCAAGCTTAATTCCTCTTGTCTTTGTGTATTAGTCTAATCTCACACTGCTGATGCAAGAAATACGCCAAGACGGGTAATTATAAAGAATGAGCTTAAAACAGCAATAAAAGACGGTTTAATTGAGTTTAAATTCCCCTTAAGAAACTCTTAAACAAAAGGGCTTCTTTTCCTCACAGAATCCTCACAAGCCTTCACAATATAGCAAGAAATTCACACTACAGTTAAATCCCATTACATGCCTACCGAATTGGTGAAAACTTAAAAAGCCTAATATTACCAGGAACTCTCACACACTGCCACAGGGAGTACAAAGTGAAACAACTTTGGAAAAACACTTGGCATTCTTTAGAAAGCTGAAGAGGCAGGGCATGGTGGCTCACACCTGTAATCCCAGCACTTTGGGAAGCCGAAGAGTTCGAGACCAGCCTGGGCAATATGGTGAAACCCAGTCTCTACTAAAAATACAAAAATTAGCCAGGCATGGTGGCGGGTGCCTGTAGTCCCAGATACTTGGGAGGCTGAGGCAGGAGAATCGTTGAACCCGGGAAGCGGAGGTTGCAGTGGGCCGAGATCACGCCACTACACTCCAGCCTGGGCGTCAAAAAAAAAA